AATGAAAAAAACTAAGTAATTTTGTTAAAAGTTATCATTCATTTCTTAGAAACGTATTATTTGAAGGAGGCCATCCAGGTTTGATATTGATGAGGATAAATACCAGCGATATTCACTGGGAACAGGAAATCGTCTAATAAAACGGGAAAGCCAAATAAAAATGTCATTAAATTCAGAAGATAATCATAATATTCATCTTTTATTTCTTCTGGAGAAACCGAAGCATGACTCTGCTCGTGGCTGCAGAGAACCTTGAGTTCTCTCAGGGCACTGACCTCAGCAACTGAGCAAAGTTTGATGTGGGAGCCAGACTAAACTTTGCTTGGACGGTGGCAGACGTGACCACAGTCGTCAAGAAAGACTTGCTAGCAAATAGCTGATGCCAATGACTGATTACCACTCACATAAATTTCCCACATTCCATGTCCCACATACTTACAGAGAGAAAAGGATCAGTTTTCCGATAAATAAAATAAACGTGTAGGGCATACAGTCCAAGGTAGATATGTGAACGTTATGGTTCTTTAACTATTTAAAGATTATAATCGATCTTGAAATTAGAGCTCCAATGTTTACGTAGTGAGGGAAGTAGGAAATCAGAGTCCCTCACAGGGGCCTTTATGAAAAATATCTCAGCCCTCAAAGCCTTGTCACACCTAAGCGGGGACTCTCGCTCATCTCTTCCAGGACACAGTGGTGGCTCTCCATGCTCTGTCCAAATATGGAGCAGCCACTTTTACCAAGACTGGGAAGGCTGCACAGGTGACTATCATCCAGTCTTCAGGGACGTTTTCCAAAACTTTCCAAGTGGACAGCAACAATCGCCTGTTACTGCAGCAGGTCTCATTGCCACAGCTGCCTGGGGAGTACAGCACGAAAGTGACGGGAGAAGGGTGTGTCTACCTGCAGGTGAGACTCGGGCAGGTGCGGAAAGAGTGCACGTGCGGACAGCAGCTGTTCTCACTGAGAAGTCCTAACTCCGAAAACAATGGGGCAAATCGGAGAAAGGGTGAGGGAAGTTGAGAAGAATTCTGGGAAAGGGCACAAAACTGATTTTGTCTTTGATGTTTCATAGACATCCTTGAAATACAGTATTCTCCCAGAAAAGGAAGAGTTCCCGTTTGCTTTAGAGGTGCACACTCTGCCTCAAACTTGTGATGAACCCAAAGCCCACACCAGCTTCGAAATCTCACTGAATGTGAGGTAAGAACTTCTGACTGTATCACCTAATTCTAACAACCACCAATCTTCTTACTGGGACTCTTCTTTAAGTAAAGCAGTACAACAGCAAATATTTGTACTGCATTCATTGAAAGTGCAACGTATGCTCTCAAGTTGATATAATATAATTCTCAGTGAAGGGGTTTACATGGTCCATGCAGGATCTATTATTGGGCAACCTCATTGTTTAAAGGGTAATAATTCCCCTCAATAATAACTAAATAAATATTACCCACTGCTTCTGACCTGAATTCCTTCTAATGTAATGAAATCCTATATTATTCTTGCTTTATTCAAGACAGAGATGAAGAATTATTGAAAAGTTTGACTAGAAGGAAGCAGTGACTCTTTAATTAGAATTCCTACTGGCAATAAATAAATCTCAGGTTACGTATGATATAATTAACTTTGGGGAAAGATACACTTACATGCTGCAGACCTGACAAAAATTATCTCTCCACAAGAATATTATAACTTGGTTGGGGATACTATTCAGGAAAAAAGTTAAGACAAAATATAAGTAACAAATAACTGGTACACATAAAAGAGAACGCGATCATGACCTCTGCAGGAACATGGATGGAGCTGGGGTCATTAGCCTTAGCAAACTAACACAGGAGCAGAAAACCAAACACTGCATGTTCTCATTTGTAAGTGGGAGCTAAATGATGGGAACACATGAACACAAAAAGAACAGCAGGTACTGGAGCCTACTTGAGGATGAAGGATGGTAGGATGGAGAGGAGCAGAAAAAATAACAACTGAGTACAAAATTTAGTACCCAAGTGATGAAGTAATCTGTACACCAAAGCCCCATGACACGGGTTTACCTATATAACAAACCTGCACATGTATGCCTGAACCTAAAACATATATACACACACACACACACACACACACACACACACACGTAGATATACATATATATCAAAGCATAAAGTGATATATATATACATCAAAATATATATACATATTTAATTTAATTTCGCATATATATTTGCCAAAAAATAAATTAAGCAGTCCAAGTGTCAGATGCAAACTCTCAGGGACAGGTCGCTAGGTGTTTGTAAGTGTTTTGCTGAGAGCCAGTGTTTACGTAAACACGGCAAATTACGGTTGTTTTTGTAAATAATGTAGACCGAAATGTATTATTCATAATATACATCATTTTGTCAGCTGAAAGAAAATAAAATTAAACAAATAAATAAAATAACCGGAATAGATTAGCGGTTACAAGCCGCCTGTGCATCATTTGTAGAGCTTTCTTAAAATGCAGATCCTCAGCCCCCATGCACCAGAAGGTCTGATTCATCAGGTCTAGAGGAGGAGGGCCTGGTCTCTGTGGCTTTAACAGGCTTCCTAAAAATTCTACACAAGCCACTTTTACAAACCACCGGGATAAGATATTTGGGAAGACTTACATGTAACTTTTAGAGTTGTGGAATACTTGATGTGGACATAGAAGAAGAAAATACTTTAAAACACAGAAAACTCTAATCCCATCCTCCCCTGGATCCTCAGTTACACCGGAAGCCGCTCTGCCTCCAACATGGCGATCACTGATGTGAAGATGATCTCTGGCTTCGTTCCCCTGAAGCCGACAGTGAAAATGGTAGGTTTTTCATAAGCCAAGAATGCCTTATTTTATTTAATGTTGTATGTATTCCCAGCATAAGACAATGCTAATATTAAAATACTATTAAAATCCATCTCTATTGGCTAAGTGTGGTGGCTCATGCCTGTAATCCCAGCACTTTGGGAGGCTGAGGCGAGCAGATCATGAGGTCAGGAGTTCAAGACTAGCCTGGCCAACATAGTGAAACCCCGTCTCTGTTAAAAATACAAAAATTAGCTGGGCATGGTAACGTGGCTGTAGTCCCAGCTACTTGGGAGGCTGAGGCAGGAGAATCATTTGAACCCAGGAGACGGAGGTTGCAGTGAGCTGAGATTGCGCCATTGCACTCCAGCCTGGGTGACAGAGCGAGACTCCATCTCAAAAAGAAAAAATCAGTCTCTGTCAAAGCCTTATGCTTTTTCCAAGCTCAGAAATATAATCACATGTGTTTGTATGAATGCTCACCTTGTGCAGAGCACTGTGCTAGGAGCCATGACTACTAGAAAAAAAATTGGCAGTAGATTCTTGCTTTTCAGTTTCTTCTTAGCTTAGAATTTTGCTAAGAAGGTAAAACATATGAACATGAACTAGTGAAAAATATGAAAATGACTGATTGGCATAAACTGTAAGTATTACAGAAGATTAAAAAAATTATGGCAATCAAAACAGGAAAAAACTCCTTTATGAAGCAATAGAAGCTGAATTGAACTTTGAAATATGAGTAACTACTAAGCTTTGGATACTTAGCTCCCTTTTCTTCAGATAAATAACTCTACACATTAGTCATTATACTAATATTAAAACCTTTCTGTCTTTCATTTTTAATTGTATTACATTATGTCCTTGCTTACAAAAAGCATTTGAAGAATTCTCCCCCCAGGCTTATTTGGCAATACAAAATATTTTTTCTCTGGACCCCCCAGGGATTTCATCTATTTATTAACATTTGTGGTGTTTCTATTTTCTTCAGCTGGAAAGATCTAACCACGTGAGCCGGACAGAAGTCAGCAACAATCACGTCTTGATCTACCTGGATAAGGTAAGAGACAGTCCAGTCTATTTGCAAAAAAAACGTAGATAATAATCCTCTAAGGGAACACCTGGGAAGTGGGTAAATGCATTTTAGAAACATCACTTCCATGCTAGAAATTTGAGAACTCTAATGTTAACTCTAAAAGAATGTTCTCCTCTTCTTTATTTATATTTCACTGGGGACGATGGGTAGAGATGGCTTATTATAATCTTGGGATATGAATATTCCTAAAACCCTGTAAGCAAGAAATCTTCACAGAATGTGTTTATTATGTTGACAAGTTATTTTGATACCCAGTAATAAAAGGAGTAGCCCTTGTGATTAGTCAATTATTAGTTAATTATCAACATACCCAACAACAATATGAAAATGAAAAGAACTGTCAATCTCCGCAAGGACTTGAACCATAAATTATTAGGCCGGTTCACCAATAAACCAATCTGATTTTATAGATGTGTGTGGCAGGAGAGTTTGTTCATGCATACGTTGATGGGAATTATAGTTTACAAATTTGATGAAACTTAAACAAGCCTGGAACGATCAACCTTTTAGATTCCTCTTAGAGTCTACACACATATTCCTGCAAGGCAGAGAAGTGAAACTGTACCAAATCTCTGTGTATTTAAAATTAACACAGTTAGTCATCCAATAAAAAGTATATAACATTTACCCTCATGAACAGAGCTATATATTGGCATTGACAGAGGTATGTGTGTTCTGTAAGCTATTTAATAAATACTGTCTCATACAAAATAACAGTAAGACAAAAAGAAAAAAAAAGTTATTTAATAAATAATCGGGAGAATTTATCATCTCCTCTGAGAGATTTCTGCACAATGTAATTAAGGACCCCGTAGTGTGCTGCAGGATGATAAAGCTTTTCCCCAAAAAGCAGATGAATACTTAAACTAATTCAAGGAGAGAAGAAAGCTTCCTGAAAGGTCATCTAATTGACTTTTGCTTTCCAGGTGTCAAATCAGACACTGAGCTTGTCCTTCAAGGTTCTGCAAGATGTCCCAGTAAGAGATCTGAAACCAGCCATAGTGAAAGTCTATGATTACTATGAGACGGGTGAGTGAGAGTGATTTTCACATAGAAATTAGGTCCCTGATCACAGAAATTCAGATTTGGGGGATGTGTTGGGGCTATTTATTACATTAAGGAATTACATTATCACTTCATTTTGTCTCCATCAAATCTGATCCTCTTCTTTTTGTCTCTTATACATATGTTGTAGAAACAACCTGCATTATAAATGTATCAACTACTAATACAAAACACCTGTAGGGTATTTAGTTCTCTTTTAGTCAGATAAATAGACTGTAGGAAAATATGAGATTTAAGTAAGCAGAACATCTGAAGAGTCCTTCAGGAGTTTGGGGTAAAAGAAAATATGACATACTGTATTTGAAACGAGAATGTAAGGTAGCAAGCAATGCATCAAATGAACGACGCCGATGTTTCTGATACAATACTGCTCTTCCCACAACAGACTCCTGCCTTGGCCTGTATTCCATAGATGTTTGCCTTCTTTCTCAATTCATGTAATAATTTCTGTTATTTTTTTTCAGATGAGTTTGCAATTGCTGAATACAGTGCTCCTTGCAGCAAAGGTAAGCCACTCACACGCCTTCAAAATGCAGTCAGAACTTTTCAGCTTGTCCCCAAACCTCCTGCTTCATAAAACTCTGGCTAAATATTTGTCATAAACGTCGTATTGCTCACACTGCACATTATTATAGAAAAACACATTTATTGGAGAGGACCACTGACTCTGTCAAACCTCAGACAGTCATAGGATTGCTGACGGGTAATGATTTGGAATGGATTTGGTTTCCCACTGTACTGACTGGGTTTCCGTAGGCACTGTGCTACCCAGAACTAAGGGAATACTCTCCACTCATGGAGACCCAAGTCTGTCTTAATTTTTTCTTCTTTCCAATATCACAGATCTTGGAAATGCTTGAAGACCACAAGACTGAAGAGCGCTTTGCTGGAGTCCTGTCCTCAGAGCTCCACAGAAGAAACATGTTTTTGTATCTCCAAAGGCTTGATGAATGAACATTTTTGTCTGGTCAATGTCTTTCCATGTTTCCTGTTCATTCAATAAATATTTCTTTACATTTCCATATGATTCTCAATAGAATATGAAGATAAAACTTAAAGGAATCAAGTGCTGAGGGACTTCAGAATACCAAAAAATGATAGAGAGATGTTGGTCTGAGCAGGCTTCATGTAAGGACTGTGGGGAAAGAAGAAAGTACTGGGTTATGTACTAGGAAAGCGTAAAGTACATTTAGTTATGGGAATGCCCTATGAAAAAGCCAAAGAGTGACGGTGTCTCACTCTGTCGCCCAGGCTGGACTGCAGTGGTGTGATCTCGGCTCACTGCAACCTACGCCACCCGTATGCAAGCAATTCTTCTGCCTTGGCCTCTCGAGTAGGTGGGACTACAGGTGCATGCCACCATGCCCGGCTAATTTTTAGTAGAGACAAGGTTTCACTGTGTTAGCCAGGTTGGTATTGATCTCCTGACCTCATGATCCACCTGCCTTGGCCTCCCAAAGTGCTAGGATTACACGCGTGAGCCACAGCACCCAGCCCAAAGAGTGAATTTTTGTGACAAAATAAAAGACTGACTTCACCAGAAAAGACGTTTACATTAAAATGAAATAGAATGAAATACAACACTGAACGGGTCATATTGGAGGCATGTTCGTTGGGACTTGACCTGAATTGGGAGTTGTGCGTCCTATGTTACACCAAAATCTCCCACTGATGAGAGTGATCAGTCAGTTAACCTGGGCTCCCAGATTCAATAATAGATGAGCTGAAAATATTGAAGGGAGGGTTCGTGCAGAAGCAAGTTTTCTCAGAAGAAGGAATGCGTATGACTCAAAGTCCAAATAGGCGTAATATATTGGAGCATCTTTCTTCTGGAACCCTGAGCCGCGATGGAAGGGTAGATGTAAAGTCAAGGAAGTATTCTGTTGCAGAAATCAGTTTTCACAACATCTGATTGATGTCTGAGGTCTCATGTCTCACACCATCTCTTTAGTCTATTTTTTAAATACCTGATTTTCCTTGCAGCAAGTATTGCAACATATATTTCCATTCTATGCAAGGGGAAGCAGGAGCTTCAGGAGCTTGTGAAGAAGTGGGAAAGGCCAAGGCAGGAGGATTGAGCCAACGGAGTCTGAAGGCAACCCTAGGAGTCCTACTTTTCATTTGGCACAAAAATGGCAATGTTTAGTTAGGCAGAAGTTGAGTATGGATTGTGTAAACTAAGAGCTGGAAAGGACTTTGAAGTTCAAGCAATCCTTAGCTCTGTCTCCAGGCTAGACAAAATATGAAATAAAGCCATCACTTCTGTGTGGTGCTTACAGCATAAGCACACACAGATATTAACACATCAGCATTACGGGATCTTTGAGGTGCCGTTCTCCTGCCCGGTCTGGTGGCACCTTTGCCTGAATTTTGCTCTGGGCCCACTGGGCTACTTCCGCCCATTCACACTTGCCACCAGCCCGGATCCTGCATCCAAGGAAAACCGAGACAGGCGTGGAGCGGAGAGGAGTGTGCTAGGGTGTGTGAGCAAGCGTGGCCACCGTGCAGTCGCACACCAGCTGCTGCCTGGGTTGTGCAGCTACAGGTGCCACCACGGGCTCTCTGTGAGGTGGCTGGACCAGGCACACAACAAGCAGCTTCCCTCTGGGCCAGGCGCACCACAACAGCTTCCCCCAGTGACATTGGGGAATGCAGTGAGGCCAACCAGGGTCCCAAGGCGGGAGTCCCAGGTCTGCGCTCCCCAGGGGGCTGCAACTCTTCTCCCCCTGTGGGGAGCAATGGGCATGTTGCAGCCCTGTTTGTGTTAGGCTCTTTTAGTCTGGCTGTGCGGCTCTCAGTGCTTGCACCAAGCAGACAAGTGAAGAATGAGACAGATGAAGAGGAGCATTATTGAGCAATGGAACAGAAGGATGAGCAAGATGAAGAGGAAAGAGACCCGCAGTTAGCAGCTCCTTCCCACAGCAAGGGTGTCCAACGAGTGTCCCGCTTCTAGCAGAAAGAAGACCCGGGAGCGGGCCGCTTCTCTCTGCAAACAGGTCTTGCCATTCAGTGGTCAGCTTTCAGCAGAGAGGAGGTCCTAGAATGGGTAGCTCCTCTCCGCAGCAGGTCACCCTCGTCTTCCCGTCCTCCCTTCCAGTCTAGCTGAGCCCTGGGATTGTATGAACCTCAGAGGAAAGGAAATGTGAGCCGGTTGGTTCATGGGAAGCTATGGATGGGCCCAGGGAACGGCACCGCAAGTTCCCGCTCTGGTCTGCAGGCTTCAGGCCCTTCCCGGCTTGAGGGTGGGGCTTCACCGGGGACCCACCCCATTCCACCCAGGAGCCCGTCTGCCTCCTGCTACCAAGCTGTTCACGCCAAGGGGTGCCTGCAGGCCAGTGCTGGGCTGTCTTCAGCCCCCTCAGCCTCCCTCTCATGCTTGTTGGTGCCCAAGTTCCGGAGGGGGCCGAGATGGCAGGGGGCTGGCATGTCAGCGCTGTCCCCATGTGCACAGTGGGCCAATCTGCAATGGCGCCCAGGCTCCGCCCGACCTTGCTCTGAGATCAGAGTGGGTGCTGACAATGGAGAGAAGCCAGGCAGCAGGAGCAGGCACCCTC